ATCGAACAGTTGTTGATATCTTTTTCAGTTCACAGCCACTAAACAAACTCTCCAAGGTCTCCAGTGTGACCAGACACTACGTCTCCTCTCTACTCTGCTGATCCGCTCTTCCTCCTCTGTTCACTTGGTAATCCTTGGAGCTCTCTCGTGATTCTACTATCACAGGGAGACGCTGGGGCGGGATTAAAAGGCAGCCTCCTTAATGCAGACGGCTCACTAACCAGTGTGCTCACCCCAAACACCAAATGAATAGAAGCACCTCCTGAGAATAAAGGGCTGAGTGCAGAGAGACAAAGGGAGGTGAGTGAGAGCTGAGGAAGAGGAGAGGAAGAGCGACGGATCAGTGTGTCGGCACTCTGTCTTCCTTGTCAACTCATTTCCATCACCTAGTTTCCGTTCATCATTACCATCACTTCAGTCACATGCTTTTATCACATGGCAATACTTATGTTGATGTATAATGTTTTTATCATTTGTATGCTATGACGTTTGTATTTTGTTTTTGCTTTGTACATCCCATTTCTTGTGATTTGGGGCAATAATACATTTTGATTTGATTTGATTAGATTACTCTGGTATTTCTACAGTGTGTGGATCTTTGCTTTTAACCCTTAGATGTATAAGTGGGTCTTTTTGGACCCGGTGAGGTGGTTTTCTTGAAGTATCTTTGTAATTAAAAAAATGTATCATTTCATATTCCAGCTATTCCTCAAAAAACATGTTTTGGATATCATGCCATTCACATTTTTAATTTACATTTTAAGAAATTGTAGTTCTTGTATTAATACCCCAAGCTTCCATAAGTGGGTCAAAACTGACCCGCATGCATTTTCTATGGAATCCTACGGGAAAACGTTTTTTTTTCAAAATGTAAAATACATTTCTAAAATTATAAATAGTGAAAAATTAAATATAAAATATTTCTAGTGTGAACCAACATATACTAAATATTATACAAGAGATTTTTCTTAACCAAAATGACAAAAATTGCATAAAAACACATGCATCTAAGGGTTAAGATCCACTCTTATTATAACTACTATTTATTAGTGATATAGCCACAGTCGGTTTTTCAGAGCGGCAGAAAAGTATAGCAGGTATTTATGTATCTGTGTTCGATGCAGCCACTTTAAATCAAAATGTCCCACCATCGCTGTCAAGTTCTTTGGTTTTTGTCACTTTTAATTCAACACGCTTTTTCATACCTTGCTTATTTCCAGGTTCATACTTGTAGTTTGGTTTTCTTTAATGCTTTAATGTTAAAAAAACACACTTTGAAATGTTTTTTATCCGTCTTTTATATACGATCGCTTACCTTCTTAATAATGCTGCTACTTATTTCATTTTCATTTAACATGCATGTGTACTCACTTATGTTATTTGCTGTTGTATAGCCACTTCATTTAATATGTTGCATGATTAGTGAAGTGTGTCCCTGTTCGGAAGAAGTTTGTGTTTGGGTTAAAAATATGCTTGGTACTTCCTGGGAGTTGTATCAAAAGAAAACAAGTGTCTGGAGAGACGCTGCTGACAGATTTAGGTTGAGATGATTCCCGAGATACGAGGATGAGGAGGAGGAGGAAGCTAAAGGTTCCTAAACAGCATCCTGATATTTATACATCACTTATTTGACTTGACACTCATTGGCCTCCTTTACTGTGCTTCCCTCTCCTTAATCCTTGAAGGAGAGGATCATGAGGCCAATAAAAAACATTTACGTACATTTGAGGGACCTTGATCTGAGTCTTGGTTCAGAATGATGCTTATCATTTTTGTTAGAAGTTGTATATGATATCTAACCTCTGTATAGAGCTCGGGATTGAATGTATTTACCTTTAAACCCTGTAGGAGTTAACAGGTGAAGAAGTTAATTTGCGAGTGGATTTGATTTGATGATTCTGGTGTTATGAGATGACATTTGAAGCCCTGCCTTCAATACAGTAATACAGGACATGAAGCGGAGTAATACAAAATATCACAGCGAGGCGTGCAGTGGCTCAGAGAAAAATATCAAACAATATCAGGTGTGACCTTTACAAAGAACCGGGGCGTTTACAGATTTAATTAAGTTACAGGTTGAGAAGAATCACAGAGGAGAAGGAGCAGCACATGATGAGAGGAAGCAGACCATACATGTTTTTGAACTATAAACAAGAACACAACCACTGCAAACAAATGTATATTGGTGTTACGGCCGCCTCCCGCCTCCCTGTTAACTCTGTTTTGAATGTGTTCTATGTAAATGAGCTGTGCGGTTGCCCTGATGTCATTGGCTACCTATCTCCTGGTCCGCCCCCGAAGATTGTGATTGGAGCACGCCGGGCCCGACGCGCTCCAATCCCAGCGCACATCCGGCGCGCACCTTCCGGAGACGACTACAAAGCCTGGGGACAACGATCAGTCGGGAGGCTCTGCTGTGTGAACAGACGCCTCTCGCTACGTGCTCTTTGACTGTAGACACATCTGGTAACAGTGGTTAACTCGTGTGGTCCGTATTAGTATTGTTGTGATTAGATGTGTTTAGATTAGTTTAGTATTATGTTGACTGTTGTCCTCTAGCTTAGCTGTGTTTTCCTACAGCCTCCTTTTGTTAGTTTGTACCACTTTAATAGTGAGGGTTGTTTTGTCACTATGTTTGTGTATTCATATCTATTCCTTTGTATTTGATGAGGCTCCCTTTTTAGACCCCATTTACACGGGAACGTTTGCGTTTACGCACCGTATGCGTTTTTAAAAAAGTCTTCCGTTCACACGCATGCGGCTCAATTAACGTGTCCGTGCTCCTGCTGTAATTCTCCCCGGTAGTCCACCAGCAGATGAAAAACACCTCTCCGCCTCTTCCAAGGGACGAGGGAACCGTGCGGCAGAGTTTCCGTTAACATTTTCTTTCGCCGGTCAACATGTCCGTTAAAGTTGAAATCTTCCGGACAAAATTAGAAAAGTGCCGGTCAGTGGTCTTCTTTGTTACTTATTGAGCTTTAAAACAAATTGATAACGACTTATATATAATAATATAAGAATAATAAACGGAGCCTCTCTTTTCCTCCCCCTCTCCTGACAGCCCAGCAGCTGATCTCTGAGCAGGAGAGGTGGGGAGAGGGAGACGTGGGGAGAGGGAGACGTGGGGAGAGGGAGACGTGGGGAGAGGGAGACGTGGGGAGAGGGAGGCGGGGCTATTTCATCGTTATCAGAAAATGATCATATAGGGCGTACACACGGAGCCGTTTGGCCCCCCAGAGCGTTCCGTTTGCAGATCTATCCACCTTGGGACCCGTTATCGTGTGCGGGGTCCGTTTCTATCGTTTTGTAACGGCCTCGTGTAAACGAAAGGGCTATACGCAAGAGAAACTAGGAGGATACAACCTGTATCGTCCTCGTGTAACGGAGTCTAAAGCTTGGTCAGCCCCAAAACAAATTCCCCAACTTTTAGCAACCCTTAGGAGGTTAGAGATGGTCACAGCTGTTCTGATTGAGTGCCTGTGTTTACATAACAATACATGTTTTAAAGAGGATATAATAGGGATGTTGAAGAGACTTTTGAATGAACTGGATACACCTTTAGTGCGATTTCTTTGACGTGCGGGGTAGAATTAAACATGTTACATTTGTGAATTGAAAAAGCCCGAACTTGGTTTAGAAAAAGAACAATGTTTGGGATAAAAGAGTTTGTTTTATAAGCTACGTACATAAGTCAATGTGACTTCTTCTGGTCGCTTTCAAGCCATGTCACTGGTCGTGTACAAGCCCAAATGTTCACCAACTATCTGACCGAGCAGTAATACAATGTCCACTCATTAACATGTGATTTCAAAGCAACAAGTACATACCACTTCTTTGTTATTAGCGATGAGATC